GAGCAGGAGAAAAGGAGAGAGGAGAAGAGGGGGAAAAATGGGCAAAAAACAGGGAGATAAAAGGGGGAAGGGAGAGTAAAAAGGAGACCTGGAAGGAAAAAACAGGACATGAGAAGAAAGAAGAGGAAAGGGGAAAAGGGGCCGAGGGAAGGCGAAGAGAAAGGCGGGCAAAAGGCGGGCAAAAGGCGGGCAAAAGGCGGGCAAAAGGCGGGCAAAAGGCGGGCAAAAGGCGGGCAAAAGGCGGGCAAAAGGCGGGCAAAAGGCGGGCAAAAGGCTGCTGCTGTCCAATGAGATGCTGGCAGAGGCGGGATGGAGCTGTTGATGGCCAATGAGAGACACATGGGGGCGGGACGGCACTGCCGCTGACCAATCACAGGCTGGCGAGGGCGGGACGGCGCTGCCGGTGATCAATGAGAGCCTGGCGAGAGAAGGACGGCGCTGCCGGTGACCAACGAGAGGAAAGTGGAGAGCGCTTTCCGGAAGGGACAAAGGTGTCACTTACCCCTCTGCAAGGATCAGGGCGCAGCAGTACAGCAAATCAGGGGGGCCAAAAGGCAAACAGCATCTGGTGGGGGACTGGGCACATGGGCAAGGCATGAAGATAGATACCTTCGTGTCCAGGAACGCCCACACCTTTACCAGGAACAGGACACGTTCACTGCGGAACCTTGGACATCCCCAAATGCCTGCTACTTCTGGGGCTGGAGTCGCCAATCCTACAAAGAAAGAAGAAAGCCTCACACGCCGTCCTCAACAAAGTGGGCTAGAAAAGAAAGGTGGGCATTGGACAAAGCCCAAGACGAGGACAGCACTCAGCACAAGCCTGTTTAGGAGATACCTCTGTTTTTGGCACCTCACTTGGTCACAAGTGGGCCCGGGGGTCATGGGAACTCCAGCGAGGCACCGCCAGGCAACATGGAAAAAAGAGAAGAGAAACAGAACACACGTGTAGCAAACACTACAGGAGCCAAAAGGAATTGAACCTGCCATTTATTGAGAGCAAAAAGAAAAAAAAAAAAAAAAAGAAGAGAGACAGAAGGAAAGTGTAGCAAATGCTACGGAAACCAAAAGAAATCAAACCTACCTTTTCTTAAGAGCAGCAGGTGGCACTGGCATCCCATCAGCACTGGGCAGAGCTGAGCATGGGCAAAGGAACAACACGCAGTGACAGCAACGGGAGCACGAGGGACAAGCGACACCAAGCCCCAAAGGACCTGAGCGAGCGTGTGAAACAGGAGACGGCAGGGATCCACGTACCTTGGCGCAGAGCCTCAGGAGCGGACACTGGCATCCACCAGCGGCTGTGCTTTCCTGCTGCATCCAACAAAGTCTTTCTCGCAGTCCTCACACTGCTTAGAAGAGCAAGCCGTGTCCGGAACCTCGAGCCGAACAGAATGCGACGAGCAAGGAGCTGGGCATCAATCTCAAGGCCAACAAGTCGGTCCCTCCCAAACCTCACTGCTCACCCAACCTCACTGACACCAGAAGCCCAGGCACACATCTGAGCCCTGCCATTCCCAGCCCTTAAATGAGCTCAGGCAGGGCTCGGGCTCCACCCAGGCCCACCCCCGGCTTCATCGCACCCACCTGGGCTTCCACCCTGCTGCTGCCATCCTGCACCAGCTTGTCCATCATTCCTTCACTCTCTTCTGTAACAGGATGAGGGGGAAGAAAGGAGAGAGAGAGCAAAGAGGAAAAAGGGAATAGGGGACAGCAGAGAACAAAACAAGGGGGTGTGGAAAAAAAGGGAAAAATGGGGTACAGGGACAGAAGAAAGGGGACGTGAGGTGGGGGAAGCGGAGCTGGGGACGAAGAAGAGGAAAGGGGAAAAAAGAACAGGAGAATGTGAAGAGAAATAAGGATGGGGGGAGAAAAAGGGGTCAAAGAGTGCAAGAAGAGATGAGGGAAGGCGGGGATAAGGCGGGATAGCAGGAAGTGCATGAGAAGGAAAAAAGGAAAAGGGGGACGAGGGAGGAACAAAAGGAAAAGGGGGACGAGGGAGGAATCAGGGCCGTCGCACGCAGCAGCGCTGTCCCGCTGCGTGGGAACGCGAGGAGGCTGTGAGGCTCCCAGCTGCTCCCCTCTGTCCTCCTGCCGAGCTCAGCACTGCGGAAGGACTGCCGGATGAGCAGAACGACGAGCAGCGGGAAGGTCACAAATGGCAGGGGGTAATGAAGCAATTCAGAGGCTGTGTCTGTGTTGATGCTGAAAACCTGAGAGAAGCAAGTTCCGACCGCACGTTGGTTAAGAGAGCAGTGGTGAGAAAGCAATGAAGCAATGAAGGCCTGCGTGTGTTTGGGCAGCAAAGATGTGCGTCTGCTGGCTGTTTGTGCGAGTGGTGAAGCGTCGCCAAAAAGGGGAAGCTGCAGCACTCAGCCAATGAGGAGCCAGGGCAGGAAGAGCTCAGCAGCGGGCAATGGGGGAGCCAAGACGCAGCGCTGCTGCTCGGGGCTCGGCTGCTCGCAGGAGCCGCTATCGCACTGCGAATGGAATGGGCTTTGGAAGAAAAGGGGACGATGGGGAAGGAAAAAGGAATGGGGCCGAGGGGGGTGGGGGAAGGAAGGGGGAGAAAAAGAGGAAAAGGAAAACAAAAAAGGGGGACGGGGAGAAAAGGGAGACGGGGAGGAAAAGGGGTAAAGGGGGTGAAAGGGGAAGTGGGGATGGGGGCAAAAAGAAGAAGAAGGGGGCGAAGAAGAGGAGAGTAAAGGGGGCCAAAGGGAAAGGAAGACAAGAGGGGAAAGGGGAAAAGAAGAATGAGAAAGGGAGGAAAAAGAAAAGGAGATGAGGAGGAGAAAAGCAGAGAGGAGAAGAGGGGGACAAATGGGCAAAAAACAGGGAGATAAAAGGGGGAAGGGAGAGTAAAAAGTCAACCTAGAAGGAAAAAACAGGACATGAGAAGAAAGAAGAGGAAAGGGGAAAAGGGGCCGGGGGAAAGTGAAGAGAAATGCGGGCAAAAGGCGGGCAAAAGGCGGGCAAAAGGCGGGCAAAAGGCGGGCAAAAGGCGGGCAAAAGGCGGGCAAAAGGCGGGCAAAAGGCGGGCAAAAGGCGGGCAAAAGGCGGGCAAAAGGCGGGCAAAAGGCGGGCAAAAGGCGGGCAAAAGGCTGCTGCTCTCCAATGAGATGCTGGCGGAGGCGGGATGGAGCTGTCGATGACCAATGAGACGCTGATAGAGCGGGACGGTGCTGTCGATCACCAATGAGAGACACATGAGGGCGGGACGGCACTGCCGCTGACCAATGAGAGCCTGGCGAGAGAAGGACGGCGCTGCCGGTGACCAACGAGAGGAAAGTGGAGAGCGCTTTCCGGAAGGGACAAAGGTGTCACTTACCCCTCTGCAAGGATCAGGGCGCAGCAGTACAGCAAATCAGGGGGGCCAAAAGGCAAACAGCATCTGGTGGGGGACTGGGCACATGGGCAAGGCATGAAGATAGATACCTTCGTGTCCAGGAACGCCCACACCTTTACCAGGAACAGGACACGTTCACTGCGGAACCTTGGACATCCCAAAATGCCTGCTACTTCTGGGGCTGGAGTCGCCAATCCTACAAAGAAAGAAGAAAGCCTCAAACGCCGTCCTCAACAAAGTGGGCTAGAAAAGAAAGGTGGGCATTGGACAAAGCCCAAGACGAGGACAGCACTCAGCACAAGCCTGTTTAGGAGATACCTCTGTTTTTGGCACCTCACTTGGTCACAAGTGGGCCCGGGGCTCATGGGAACTCCAGCGAGGCACCGCCAGGCAACATGGAAAAAAGAGAAGAGAAACAGAACACACGTGTAGCAAACACTACAGGAGCCAAAAGGAATTGAACCTGCCATTTATTGAGAGCAAAAAGAAAAAAAAAAAAAAAAAAGAAGAGAGACAGAAGGAAAGTGTAGCAAATGCTATGGAAACCAAAAGAAATCAAACCTACCTTTTCTTAAGAGCAGCAGGTGGCACTGGCATCCCATCAGCACTGGGCAGAGCTGAGCATGGGGAAAGGAACAACACGCGGTGACAGCAACGGGAGCACGAGGGACAAGCGACACCAAGCCCCAAAGGACCTGAGCGAGCGTGTGAAACAGGAGACGGCAGGGATCCACGTACCTTGGCGCAGAGCCTCAGGAGCGGACACTGGCATCCACCAGCGGCTGTGCTTTCCTGCTGCATCCAACAAAGTCTTTCTCGCAGTCCTCACACTGCTTAGAAGAGCAAGCCGTGTCCGGAACCTGGAGCCGAACAGAATGCGACGAGCAAGGAGCTGGGCATCAATCTCAAGGCCAACAAGTCGGTCCCTCCCAAACCTCACTGCTCACCCAACCTCACTGACACCAGAAGCCCAGGCACACATCTGAGCCCTGCCATTCCCAGCCCTTAAATGAGCTCAGGCAGGGCTCGGGCTCCACCCAGGCCCACCCCCGGCTTCATCGCACCCACCTGGGCTTCCACCCTGCTGCTGCCATCCTGCACCAGCTTGTCCATCATTCCTTCACTCTCTTCTGTAACAGGATGAGGGGGAAGAAAGGAGAGAGAGAGCAAAGAGGAAAAAGGGAATAGGGGACAGCAGAGAACAAAACAAGGGGGTGTGGAAAATAAGGGAAAAATGGGGTACAGGGACAGAAGAAAGGGGACGTGAGGTGGGGGAAGCGGAGCTGGGGACGAAGAAGAGGAAAGGGGAAAAAAGAACAGGAGAATGTGAAGAGAAATAAGGATGGGGGGAGAAAAAGGGGTCAAAGAGTGCAAGAAGAGATGAGGGAAGGCGGGGATAAGGCGGGATAGCAGGAAGTGCATGAGAAGGACAAAAGGAAAAGGGGGACGAGGGAGGAAAAAAAGGAAAAGGGGGACGAGGGAGGAACAAAAGGAAAAGGGGGACGAGGGAGGAATCAGGGCCATCGCACGCAGCAGCGCTGTCCCGCTGCGTGGGAACGCGAGGAGGCTGTGAGGCTCCCAGCTGCTCCCCTCTGTCCTCCTGCCGAGCTCAGCACTGCGGAAGGACTGCCGGATGAGCAGAAAAACGAGCAGCGGGAAGGTCACAAATGGCAGGGGGTAATGAAGCAATTCAGAGGCTGTGTCTGTGTTGATGCTGAAAACCTGAGAGCCGCAAGTTCCGACCGCACGTTGGTTAAGAGAGCAGTGGTGAGAAAGCAATGAAGCAATGAAGGCCTGCGTGTGTTTGGGCAGCAAAGATGTGCGTCTGCTGGCTGTTTGTGCGAGTGGTGAAGCGTCGCCAAAAAGGGGAAGCAGCAGCGCTCAGCCAATGAGGAGCCAGGGCAGGAAGAGCTCAGCAGCGGGCAATGGGGGAGCCAAGACGCAGCGCTGCTGCTCGGGGCTCGGCTGCTCGCAGGAGCCGCTATCGCACTGCGAATGGAATGGGCTTTGGAAGAAAAGGGGACGATGGGGAAGGAAAAAGGAATGGGGCCGAGGGGGGGGGGGGGGGGGGAAAGGAAGGGGGAGAAAAAGAGGAAAAGGAAAACAAAAAAGGGGGACGGGGAGAAAAGGGAGATGGGGAGGAAAAGGGGTAAAGGGGGTGAAAGGGGAAGTGGGGATGGGGGCAAAAAGAAGAAGAAGGGGGCAAAGAAGAGGAGAGTAAAGGGGGCCAAAGGGAAAGGAAGACAAGAGGGGAAAGGGGAAAAGAAGAATGAGAAAGGGAGGAAAAAGAAAAGGAGATGAGGAGGAGAAAAGCAGAGAGGAGAAGAGAGGGAAAAATGGGCAAAAAACAGGGAGATAAAAGGGGGAAGGGAGAGTAAAAAGGAGACCTGGAAGGAAAAAACAGGACATGAGAAGAAAGAAGAGGAAAGGGGAAAAGGGGCCGGGGGAAAGTGAAGAGAAATGCGGGCAAAAGGCGGGCAAAAGGCGGGCAAAAGGCGGGCAAAAGGCGGGCAAAAGGCGGGCAAAAGGCGGGCAAAAGGCGGGCAAAAGGCTGCTGCTCTCCAATGAGATGCTGGCGGAGGCGGGATGGAGCTGTCGATGACCAATGAGACGCTGATAGGGCGGGACGGTGCTGTCGATCACCAATGAGAGACACATGAGGGCGGGACGGCGCTGCCGCTGACCAATGAGAGCCTGGCGAGAGAAGGACGGCGCTGCCGGTGACCAACGAGAGGAAAGTGGAGAGCGCTTTCCGGAAGGGACAAAGGTGTCACTTACCCCTCTGCAAGGATCAGGGCGCAGCAGTACAGCAAATCAGGGGGGCCAAAAGGCAAACAGCATCTGGTGGGGGACTGGGCACATGGGCAAGGCATGAAGATAGATACCTTCGTGTCCAGGAACGCCCACACCTTTACCAGGAACAGGACACGTTCACTGCGGAACCTTGGACATCCCCAAATGCCTGCTACTTCTGGGGCTGGAGTCGCCAATCCTACAAAGAAAGAAGAAAGCCTCACACGCCGTCCTCAACAAAGTGGGCTAGAAAAGAAAGGTGGGCATTGGACAAAGCCCAAGACGAGGACAGCACTCAGCACAAGCCTGTTTAGGAGATACCTCTGTTTTTGGCACCTCACTTGGTCACAAGTGGGCCCGGGGCTCATGGGAACTCCAGCGAGGCACCGCCAGGCAACATGGAAAAAAGAGAAGAGAAACAGAACACACGTGTAGCAAACACTACAGGAGCCAAAAGGAATTGAACCTGCCATTTATTGAGAGCAAAAAGAAAAAAAAAAAAAAAAAGAAGAGAGACAGAAGGAAAGTGTAGCAAATGCTATGGAAACCAAAAGAAATCAAACCTACCTTTTCTTAAGAGCAGCAGGTGGCACTGGCATCCCATCAGCACTGGGCAGAGCTGAGCATGGGCAAAGGAACAACACGCGGTGACAGCAACGGGAGCACGAGGGACAAGCGACACCAAGCCCCAAAGGACCTGAGCGAGCGTGTGAAACAGGAGACGGCAGGGATCCACGTACCTTGGCGCAGAGCCTCAGGAGCGGACACTGGCATCCACCAGCGGCTGTGCTTTCCTGCTGCATCCAACAAAGTCTTTCTCGCAGTCCTCACGCTGCTTAGAAGAGCAAGCCGTGTCCGGAACCTCGAGCCGAACAGAATGCGACGAGCAAGGAGCTGGGCATCAATCTCAAGGCCAACAAGTCGGTCCCTCCCAAACCTCACTGCTCACCCAACCCCACTGACAGCAGAAGCCCAGGCACACATCTGAGCCCTGCCATTCCCAGCCCTTAAATGAGCTCAGGCAGGGCTCGGGCTCCACCCAGTCCCACTCCCGGCTTCATCGCACCCACCTGGGCTTCCACCCTGCTGCTGCCACCCTGCACCGGCTGTTCCAGCTGTTCCAAGATGGGGGAAACGGGGATGCGGAGGAAGGTGAGGTGTGGGGGAACATCAGCACCCTACACTTGCCCCACAAACAGTACTGCAGGGACCCTTAAGTGACCCACGAGCGACATATCAGTGCCCCTCATGTGCCTGCTCACCGCTCTGCGGGTGACACATCACTGCCCCACAAGTGCCCCATCAGAGCCCCACTAGTGACCCACAAGTGCCTCACAAGTGACTGCCCAGTTGCAATGTGGAGACCTACAATTGACCCACAAGTGACACATCAGCACCCCCACAAGTGCCCCACAATTGCCCCAAATGCGACACATCAGCGCCCCACAAGTGACCCACAACTGCCCCACCAGCGCCCCACAGGTGAGATGGCAGCGCCCTGTAACTGTCACATCGGTGCCCGAAAAGCGCCCCACAAGTGACACATCAGCACCCCAGAAGTTGCACATCAGGGACCCACAAGTGACCCACAAAATCCCACAAGTGACACATCAAGTGCGCACAAGTACCCAACAAGCGACCCATCAGCGCCCCACAAGCGGCACCGTGCAGACCCACAAGTGGCCCATGAGTGACACCTCAGTTCCCTTATAAGTAACCCACAAGTGCCCCACCAGTGGCCCCCATGTGACCCATCAGCGCCCCACAAGTGCCCCCATGTGACCCACAAGTACACCCCCAGTGGCACATCAGCGCCCCACACGTGCTCCACACGTGCCCCATCAGCTCCCCACAAGTCACCTACGACCCACAAGTGCCCCCCCAGTGCCCCAAAAGTGCCCCACAAGTGGCACAGCAGGGACCCACAAGTGACCCAGAACTGAAAAACAAGAGACCCACAGGTGCCCCGTCAGTGCCCTACAAGTGCCCCACAAGATCCCCACAGGTGGCACTGCAGGGACCCATGAGTGACTCACAAGTGCCCTTAAGTGCCCCATAAGCGCCCCACGGCACCACACAAGTGACCCAGAGAACTCCAGAGTGACCTGTGAACCACAATTGCCCCAAATGCGACACATCAGTGCCTCGCAAGCGCCCCATAAGTACCCTCCAGGTGAGATGACTGCGACCCACAAATGCCCACCAGTGACCCATAAGTAACACACCAGCGCCCCAGGATTGACAAATCTGCACCCCACAAGTAACCCATCAGCGCTTCAGAACTACCCCATCTGTGTCCCACAAGTGATCCACAGCATCCTATATCCCACAAGTGCCACACAAGTGCCCCATCTGCGCCCCACAAGTCATCTATGACTCACAAGTTCCTCTCCAGTGCCCCACAAATGACCCACAGCAGCCTGTGACTCACAAGTTACACACAGGGACCCACAAGTGCCCCACAAGTGACTCACCGAGTCACTGAGCCCCGCCATTCAGCCGGCAGCAAAGTGGTGGCCGCGCTCTCTGCTGTTTCAGCGTGGCCGATGCGTGGAACTGCCACTGCCCACTGCTGAGGCGCAAAGACGGCACGATGCATGCGTCCACCAACGCGGAAGCGCCGTTCTGACCGCTCTGCACAGCTCCTCTGCCGCTCTCTATGGTGCTCAGTCCTCCACTCATAGCGAACATGCACCCGGCAGTTCGCGGCAGCCATTGCTTCCACAGAGTGCTGCGGCTCCGGGCCAGGAGCCGATTCTCACACCGCCAGCTCAGCCGTTTGTTTTCTCCCCTTCTACCCCAGGTAGCCCCCGTCTATTGCGGCCGTTTTAGCCTGGAACTGAGCCGGGAACCGGAAGGTTCGGCTCCCTTTTCCCCTTCGCCTCCCCAGGAGACAGCAAACGTCCCCTTCCACCCCCAGCCTTACGCTGCTCTCCAGCTGTTTCAAAGCCCGCACAGCACCAGTGGAACACGTGCGGCTCGGCGCGTTTTGGAGTGGCTCGCGGCGGCTCGGCGCAATTCGGAGTGGCTCGCGGCGCTTCGGTGTGCTATGGAGCGGCTTGGAGGGCTTCGGAGCAGCTCGAAGGGCTTCAGAGGGGCTCGCAGCGGCTAGGAGGGGCTTGGAGCTATTCCGAGCGGCTCGGCGCAATTCGAAGCAGGTCGGAGCGATTCTCAGCAATTTGAAGCAATTCGCAGTGGTTCGGGGGTTTGCGATGGCGGTAGCGGTGCGCAGCAGCTCGGCCCCGAGCAGTCCCTTAAAAGCAACATCTATGCGGAAATCCAGCCGCTGACACTCTCTTTATATACGCGCACGTTTCTGCCGCGCATGCGCACTTGTGCCGCAGCGCACTGCGCACGCGCCAGTTCCCGTACAGCACTGCGCATGCGCTGCATTTGATGACCTACTGCACGTGCAAGAACATCCCCGCCATTTTGCACATGCGCGTAGCCGGATAGTAATTGCAAAAAAAAAAAAAAAAGTTACAGTACCCATTTTTGGCGACACTATGGCAGAAGAGACTGTGAAATAAAAATAAGGAAAGGGAAAGGAAAGGGAAAGGAAAGGGAAAGGAAAGGGAAAGGAAAGGGAAAGGAAAGGGAAAGGAAAGGGAAAGGAAAGGGAAAGGAAAGGGAAAGGAAAGGGAAAGGAAAGGGAAAGGAAAGGGAAAGGAAAGGGAAAGGAAAGGGAAAGGAAAGGGAAAGGAAAGGGAAAGGAAAGGGAAAGGAAAGGGAAAGGAAAGGGAAAGGAAAAAAATAAAATAAAAATTAAAAAAAATTAAGTCCTTGAAAGTAATCCGCTATGCGATATGGGGAGATATTGCCCACAACGCCTAAGGGACCCCATTTCGTAATGGGAACCGCTAGCTCGTAATAGGGGGATCCCACAAATCCTGGAATCATTTTCTCCAGAAAAGTATTGTTCTCCCCCCTTCACCCATTGAAGAAATTCCCAAGAAAAGACATGATGTACATTTTAGTACATTTGGCCTGCCTGGCTCGCCAAGCGTATAATCAAAGAATATTAGCATGTTCTAGTCACGAAATAAACAAGACAGTTAGGCAAAGCGGAACATGACAAAAGAGAACAAACAGTAGGCTTACCCCCGTCCTGGACTCACTCACCAAACACCAGCAGAGGCTGTCTCCGGAAGAGATCCTTCCCCACTGGTAGCCAGCTCTTAAATAGGTCTAGGAGGGGTGCAGCATGGCTTCCGGCAGCACAGCTGAATTGACTTCAGCTGTGCTCCTCTGGCTGACTCATTGCTCTCCTCAGCTGATCAATCAGAGGTTAAGGCTGTGACTCAGCAGTCGCCATACACACCGCTTTACTGTATTTCCTGATGGCACACGGGCACTGCTCTGCTGGATTTCATGGGGACACATTGGCACAGCCCTGCTAGGTTGAATGGAGAAATAGCGCACAGCTGCGTGGGGTTGAATGGGGGCACACTGGCACAGCTCTGCTTGCTTGAATGGTAGCACATTGCACAGCTCTGATCGGTTTATTAGGGACACGTTGGCACCACGCTGCTGGGTTTGTGGTGACATATTGGCAAAGCACTGCTGGGATTAATGGAGGCACATTGCACAGCTCTGCTGCAGGATTTCTTTGTGACACGTTGTCCCAGTACTGCAGGGTAAAATGGGGCCACACTGGCACAGCTCTGCTGGTGACGCTACGCCTGGCTCTGAAGGTTGTGTCCATGCCTTTCGATCCAGCGACAATTCGTTGCAGTCTGGTTCTCCGTGACTGCACTTGGGCATTCTGTGGCCACAAGGGTAGAAGGGAAAACCCTCTCTTCAGAGGCAACTGGAAATTCGAGGAGCGACAGATGTTGTGCTCTCAGGGAGCACGTTCAAAAAAGTCGGGAGCACAGGTAAGGGACCTAG